CAATTTGTGGTCAAAACGCATTAATTTTGAAATTATCCGACATATTGGATTCGCCATTTTGAATTTTGAAAAACCGACCTCAGATTCGTAATCAGAGACCCCAAAAACCCCCGAGTAACAAATTTCAGGCGAATCAAATTAAATTTAGTATTATTTTTTTGCGATGGCCATATATGGCCACTTGCACAAAGGTGGCACGACTTTTTCTGGCCACATATGGGCCCTGGACTGTCAAGGGGTTAAATAAACTGTAACTGTTTAGAAACTAGATAGTTTTACTTTTTATATAGTTTCACTATCTAGAAACTAGATAGTATAACTGTACCGTAACTGTGTAGAAACTCGATAGTTTCCATCTAGTTCAAGTATCTAGAAACTAGATAGTATCATTATAGTTTAACTATCTAGAAACTATATAGTTTCATTACAGTTTACCTATCTAGAAACTATAGAGTTTTCACATAGTTTAAGTATCTAAAAACTAAATAGTTTTAATGTAGTTTCTATATCCAACAGCTAGATAGTTTCTATATAATTTAAGTATCTAGAAACTAGATAGTATAACTGTACTGTAACTGTTTACAAAACTAAATAGTTTCCATATAGTTCAAGTAACCAGAAACTAGATTGTATAATTTTCTTGATTCTTAAAAATATTCTAAATAGTTCAACTATCTATAAACTAGATAGTTTCCATATAGTTTAATTACCTAGAAACTAGATAGTTTTCAAACAGTTTTTGTATCTAGAAACTAATTAGTCGTTGCGTTACATTAAAAGCAAAACGTAACTAACTAATTCAAATTAGTTAAAATTTTTACTAATTCAAATTTAGAGAGTAAAGAAACTTTTTTTTGTATAATTTTATTAGAATGATAATTAATTAAAAGTAAAATTCCTATTAAAAAAGAAAATGAAATATATAAAACTGTCCCTTTGAAAATTCAAGCAGAATATAAAATGTTAATTTTAATGTCATATTATCAAGATTTGAACGACATTTTAATTTCAACTGCTGTGTGTAGAAATAAAAAGAGAATATTTAGTGCCTGAGCTTTTGGAAGTATAGAATTAAAAAAAAAGTAATTTTTCTTTTCGAAAAAGTTAAAATTACATTGTATGTTGTTAATATTATAGTGAAGGTAAAGTAAGGATCAGTAAAACTTATGGGACATTATTGAACGGTATACACAGTTTAAAATAAAACGAAGAAGAAGAAGAAGAAGAAGAAAACGAAAAAGAAGAAATAGAAGAAGGATTCAAGCACTAACCGTTAAGAAACAGGTTCTAAGTGTAAAAATTAAGCTTTAAGTGGTAGATTATTAAGAAGTCAAGAGAGGATCAGAACATTACTAGTAAAGTATGACATATACACAATTAACAAACAAAAACTAAATGACAAGCCTTAAATCAAACACATCATTCAAATATAAAAAATAAAATCAAAAAAAAAAAAGAAAATAATAAAACCCCGACAATTTTATCTAAACTCGTGCAGACACTAAATATATATCCCTCAGGAAAAAATTTCAAATCACAATCTCAAAATGATTGTAAAATAATTAACTGACTAAAAGAAATTACAATTTTCTAAAAAAATTTAAACATCGAAGAATCTATTTATAATAAGTTAACTAAAAAGGTTCAATTAAAAAATTATAAACTAATTAATAAACTAAATAATAATAATAATAATAATAAAATAAAATAAATTGCCATTTCCTATGAAATGATAAAATCAAATAAACAAGGGTAATGTTATATGTTCTCTCTCGCAATATCACTTTATAAATGTGAACAGGACCAATTAACGTACAAGTGTTAAAACTTTATGTGAATTCCTAGGATATTCTAAATATTTAGTGAAAAATATTTACACATGTAAAATATTGAAGTAAATTTTATTCCCATAAAAAAAAATAATGAAGTTTTTTCATACCTTTTCATTATAGAAAATAAAACCCGGCCACAATACAAATCAATAGAAGCGGGAATTCCACGCTTCCAATTAAGGACGCCATTAACGAAGTTAAACACGATTTTTCAAATCTTTAAAAAAGGTTATACTAATTAGCTGTGGACGTTATCTCTTACCACAATGTATATATGTATAGTACTTTACCAAAAAAAATCGATTCGCCCAAAATCATTTATTTCATCCCAGTTTTACTTTTTAAAAAAAAGAAAATGTCTAACAAAAAAAAAAAAAAAGGAAACTTTCGGTGCTTGGTAAAAAGAATTATTGTAATTTTCGGTGTTTAGGTAAAAGAATTATTACAACTTTTGCTATTAAGAAAAACTGAAACTTTTGGTGTTTGGATACAAGAGTTATTGGAAATTATTTTGGTAAAAAATTACCAGAACTTTTGTTGTTTGGATAGAAGAATTATTGGAATTTTGGGTATTTGGAAAAAACAATTATTGGAATTTTCGGTGTTTGGCTAAAAGAATTATTACAACTTTTGCTTGGTGTTTGGATACAAGAGTTATTGGAACTTTTGGTATTTGGAAAAAAATTACCAGAACCTTTAGTGTTTGGATATAAAAGAATTAATACAACTTTTGGTATTAAGAAAAAAGAATTATTGTAATTTTTGCTGTTTGAATAGAAGAATTATTAGAACTTTTTGGTACTAGAAAAAAATTTATCAGAACTTTCGATATTTGAATAAAAGAATTATTACAATTTTTGGGTATTAAGAAAAAAGAATGATTGGAACTTTTGGTATTTGCTCTCTAAATCTGAATTAGTAGTTTTCTACTAATGAAAGAATATGGATTCGTTTACCAATTGAATTAGTAACAGTTTTGATTAATTTTTAGTAAAAAGAAACTACTAATTGCTAGTAGGAAACTACTAATTGCTAGTAGGAAACTACTAATTGCTAGTAGAAACTACTAATTCATGGAGTAAATCGGCTTACTAATTTGAAATAGTAAAAGTACAATTTACTCCATAAATTAGTAGTTTCCTACTAGGAATTAGTAGTTTCCTACTAGCAATTAGTAGTTTCCTACTAGCAATTAGTAGTTTCCTACTAGCAATTAGTAGTTTCCTACTAGCAATTAGTAGTTTCCTACTAGCAATTAGTAGTTTCATTTTACTAAAAATTAGTCAAAACTGTTACTAATTCAATTGGTAAACGAATACGCACTCTTTCATTAGTAGAAAACTACTAATTCAGATTTAGAGAGTGGAAAAAAAGTATTGTTTGGCATAACTATTTTATTAGTTGGCACAACTATATTTTATTAGTTCGTTCAACTACAATTAGTTTCTTGGAATATCTATTTAATTAGTTATACCTTACTAACGAAATGGTTAGGCTGCGGCCAACTAAATGGTACTCTCTAAATCTGAATTACAAGTTTTCTACTAATAAAAGGGTGCGTATTCGTTTACCAATTGAATTAGTAACAATTTTAACTAATTTTTAGTATAAAACTACTAATTTCTAGTATAAAACTACTAATTCATGGAGTGAATCGGCTTACTAATTTGAAATAGTAAAAAAATACGACTTACTCCATGAATTAGTAGTTTTCTACTAGCAATTAGTAGTTTTTTTTACTAAAAATTAGTCAAAACTGTTACTAATTCAATTGGTAAACGAATACGCACTCTTTCATTAGTAGAAAACTACTAATTCAAATTTAGAGAGTGGAAAAAAGTATTGTTTGGCATAACTATTTTATTAGTTGGCACAACTATATTTTATTAGTTCGTTTAAATATAATTAGTTTCTTGGAATATCTAGTTAATTAGTTATACCTTACTAACGAAATGGTTAGGTTGCGGCCAACTAAATGGTACTCTCTAAATCTGAATTAGTAGTTTTCTACTAACGAAATAGTACCGATTCGTTTACCAATTGAATTAGTAACAGTTTTGACTCTCTTTTAGTAGAAAACATACTAATTGCTAGTAAAAAACTACTAATTCATGGAGTAAATCGGCTTACTAATTTGAAATAGTAAAAAACACAACTAACTCCATAAATTATTAGTTTTCTACTAAAAAAAACAGTCAAAACGGTTACTAATTCAATTGCTAAACGAATCCGCACTTTTTCATTAGTAGAAAACTATACTAATTCAGATTTAAAGAGTAACAGTAACTAATATAAAATTAGCAAACAATATAATTTTACCAATGAAATGGTATATATAACCAATAATTTCTCTCAGTAAAAGAATTCTCTAATTATCCCAAAACATTATAAAATTATTTTCTCATGCATCGTTAAACTATAACTATATATACAAAACACACTTTAAAGCTGCAAATTTCCCCCAAAAAAAGAATTCTTTTCTAAAACAAAAATAAAAACGTGTACGATGAATGCTAAAAAAGTCCGCCCTCCAAAAACAAAAAAAAAAATGACTAAAAACTTGAAAAGGCTCTCACCTTTTTTTTCGAGAGCAATTTAACCCCTTGGTTTTTTCCCATGAAAAATAACGACTTTGAGAGGCGCGGTAAAAGCGTCCGACCTAAGACCTATTACCGTCTAATTTTAATGCTCGCCGTCGAAGAGAGAGAGAGAGAGAGAGAAGAGACGTGAAAAAAAAAACAAAAGTACAAGAGACACACACAGGAGAGGAGAGAGAAAAAAAAGAAGGAGAGAGAGAGAGAGAGCTCCAAAGAGTGTCGCTCGCAGGCAAAGAATACTCTACGTGTCTGAATCGCACTGGGTCGTTTGAAGAGAAGAGCCAAGGAGAAGAAGAAGACGAAGAAGAAGAAGAAGAAGGCAAAGAAGAAGAATATATCTCGTTGGCAATATCCTGACAGTTTCTCCGCAAGTTGTAGTGCACTCTGAAGCACACGGACGCAAACGCGAGCGTTCTCCAGGCGTTTGCGTGTCGTTGCTTTTGTAGTGTAGGCAGAGCGCCTGCGAATAAGAAAGAAAGAGAGAGAAAGAGAGCGCGAGAGAGAGAGAAAACGAGAAGGGAGAGGGGGGGAAAGCACCGACGTTTCAGGAGCGGTACTCCAGAGGGGCCACTGTTGCTGCAGGTAAAGAGAATCGAGAGAAACGAATGCTAGTCGCGATCGCACCTTCGTACCTGCAATATCTGAACGCTCTCGTTACTCAAACAGGTACGTCGTTATTTTTTTTTTTCTTTTTTTTTTTCTTTTTACCCCCCAAAAAAAGGCCTCAAAATTTTCCCCATGACGCGTGTTTTGTGATACTAATTTTACAAATATATATTTATACACATATATATAAATCGATGTCAAGGTAAACAAATTTTTTTTTTGAAATATTCCCTTCTATTATTGTTTACAATATTTATTGTTCATTGTGCATTTCCGAGTTTCCTTTTCTAAATTGTGTGTTCTCTCACCCCCCCCAAAAAAATGTGATTATGGAAAAAAAATAGTGATTTGTGTGGAACCAATTAGAACATCTGTCCTGACACTTTAAAGGTCTGAAGTGAATTTTTAGAAATTTTTTTTCCACACACTTTTATATAATACACCCAAAAAAATGTTTTATTTTGAAACAAATAGTTGAGTTAAATAAACGTATATTTGTCTCACTAGTAACTTTTTTTTATTTACCGTAAATAAAAATTTTATTTACATTTTTATTTAAATCAAATGAAAATTAATTTGCAACAAATAAAATTTATTTGCAACAATTAAAATTTATTTGCAACAAAAAATTATTTATTTGAACGAAATAAAAATTTATTTAGATCTAAGACAAATATATATTTTCTCTGCGTGTAAAAAATATAAACAGTTTTATAAGAAATGTAAAAAAGAAAATTACTAAATTGTAGAAATTAACATGAAAATTATTAGAACGAATTTATTAATGCAAAAAAAATTTTGTAATAAAAAACAAATCTCCTTCTAAATAGTAAAAAATAACTTTTGAAAATTATTAAAATTATTTTTGATTTTAATGTAAATTTATTGAAAACTAGTTTAATTTTTGTTCAAACTTTCACTATAAATATAACACACACACACATATGTGAGAACACGAAGGTTAATCAGTTGTTTTCTAATTTTCAATGTTTGCGAGCAGAACGAAAGTTGAAAAAAAAAAATGGAGATTGCACATATTTTCCATAAAAATAAACATACAGTTAATATATGAAGGAAAAACAATTTGCCGTTAACTTTATATAATTTTAATTTAATATCATCATTTATGTCTTCATTAAAATATCATATATGGATATTTTATAATTTGAAGTCTCTATTTAGATTCATTTTTTCTTTTAATGCTTACATCACATTCTCTGATTTACATTAACATAATATATAATATGATTAATGACATACAAGAGAGAATCACCATCATCATTATTATTATATTATTATTATAATAATAAAGATGGGAATTGGAACAATTGTCTCTCATTTTACTTTCTAATTTTTTGGCTATAACAATATAATATATTGTTGCAATGGAAGGACATTCAAAGGACATGTTCTCTACTTTAACCATTTTTTCAACCTCCACTGAATATTCAATGAATATTTTATATTTACGAGTGGGCGAATATGTGTGTGTGTGGAAATATTATCGAATTATTTAAAAAAATCCTCTTTGTATAAATTACGCGATTTTTTTTGTTTTATTTGCTTTCTTAATTAATAAAATAATTATAATAAAGCAAAATTATTGAAATAACAATTAATAAATTATTATTACTTAATTTATTATTAAAATAAGAATTATTAAAATTATCATTAAAATAAGAAATTTAAATAATAATTTCAAATAATATTTAATTAATATTGTTGAAATATTTAAAATTTACTTTTTTCCATTAATTAATTTTTATTCAAATTATTCTATCAGCAAAATAAATATTAATTACAATGAAAAAAAAATTTATTTGGTTCAACTAATTAGTTATTTTACTATTATCAAATAAATATTTACTTAAACCAAATAATTTTTATTTGAATTAAATAAACTGTATTTGAAACAAATAAAATTTAATTGACTCAAATAATAATTATTTGATACAAATAAATATTTATTTGATACATATAAATATTTAATTGAGAATAGGCAAGTAACCGATTATTTGAATCAAATAAATTTTTTTTCACATACGTATAATTTATTAATAGTTAATTAATAGTAAATTTTTATTTTATTTTAAAAATTTGACTTGTTTTGCAATTTTATAATTAATTATATAGGAATTAATAATAATAATAATAATAATAATAATAATTGGAGCCTCGTAGCCCGTTTATTAAAAAAAAATAATAAAAAAGTCATACAATGGAAAAGTAGAATAATTAAACAGAATAAATATAGATATAATGATTTCACTATAGCTCTTTTAAGTTTCAAAATAAAAAAAATACCGATAAAGAAATTCTCTTTTAAAAAAATAATATACCAGTGTCACATTATGCAAAACAAATATTTGGTTACGAATATTTCCTGGTGTGTTAAATCATCGAAAAAAATAAGAATGGGATGAAAAAAAGAAGAAGGATATAAGAAAAGATTGATTGATGAATGGCGAAAACACTTGTTTGGCAAATTGTATTACGTGTCTCTTATCGGATGGGTGGACTTTTGATTTGGAAATGGTTTCTCGTGAGAGAAAGAGAGAAATAAATAAAGATATAACATATATATATATATATATATATATATATATATATATATATATTTTCTATATAGTAGTGGTAGAATCTGCAAGGATCAAGGTATTATATCTAAGAATATACCTGTTGAGCGTGTATAACGGAACGACGGTTATGGTACCACGTCGCATCGCGCGAAAATCCGCGAGAGTTGCGCTCTCTCTCGCCTAAAGGAACTGTCAGGAATTTACGCTTTATAGACCACTCCCTTATTCTCTTTAAATTTTGTATTTAAATATATATAAATTATTCCTCTTGTCAAATTTGAACCCATTTTTTTTTTTTTATTTTACTATTACTGTATTTATAACTTCCTATAAAAATGTATTAAAAGATTTCTATTATTTCCTCAAAGATTTCCATTTAAAAATCGCGATAACGATATTGTCACACGAAGTAACTTTTACTGTACCTTACAAAGTAAAATCTAAAATGTATTTTTTTAAAAATAAGAGCCCGTTTTCACCGTATGGGTTAAATTTAATCTTCCGAGAGGTTAAAGGCAGTAGATATATAGTCTGCGCAGAAGCAAACATTCTGCGCAGACGCAGAATATATCTACTTTGTTTAATCTCTCGAAAGATTAATTTATCTGAAAACGGGGTATTAATTAAATATTGTATTTTTAAAATAAATTCTATTAAATAAAAATAGTATTTTTTAAATAAATAAAATATTATTAAATAAACAGTATTTTTTAAATAAATAAAAGAGTATTAAATAAACAGTATTTTTTACTATTTCCGAAGCAAAAAATTGACAGAAATGCGTAGAAATTATCTATGATTTACTTTAGTAGTATAGTAAAAATTACTTTATTTTTGTTTCTCATTTTTCTGATCCGTGTGGCATAAACTCTGATTTTTAATTAGCGACAAACACAAATTTTTACAATCCCATTCTAATTTCTTCTTTATAACAAATATTGAGATCTTTTCTCGTAGCGCTTCAAAAGATAACTGGAAGTTTCAGTTTATTCAGAGCATGGAACTTCATTTTTTTTTTGTATCTATATTGAGATTTCGATTATCACCCGCAGTATAATATAATGAATTTAGAAATTTCGTTCGTGATAAATGAAAATTTTATTGTTAATATAGAACATAACGAAATGTGAAACAATAAAAATCTTTTATATTTATAAATTGCGTTATTTCTGTTCAACTCATTAAATTCCTTCGACTATCTCTCTCTTTCTCTCTCTCTCTCATCGCTACTGTGGCGTTGTAAATGTGGAAGAAAAGAGAACGAATGAGAGACGATCGCAAAAATTTCGTCTGAATGATATACCGGCATTGCTCTCTAATTGGGATTCAGCTTGCGCTTTCGTGAAGAGAAAAAAAAAACCTGATTATAAGAAAAGTGAAACGGAAAAAAAGTTATATTCGGATCTGTTCGCGAGACGTTCAGACTGGAAATTTCTTATTCTTATATATATATATATATTATTTCAATTATCAGAGAAAAATTTGATTAAAACAACTAAATTTTGGTTGAATTAACAAAATTAATGGATTTCTATACAGTTAAACAAACGTTTGGTTAATTCAACTAAACTATTTAATTGAATCCACAACGTACAAGAATTATTGAAACTTTTGGTATTTGCAAAAAAAATTATTAGAACTTTCGGTGTTTGGATAAAAGAATTATTGCAACTTTTAGTATTTGTAACTTTATAGTCCTTGAACCGAAAAATTTTCTCATTTATAAAATTTCGAAACACTTAAAATTTTGTCAACTGATAATTCTGATAAATTAATATTCAGTTATAAATCATAATGTTAGCTTTGAAAAAAAAACATAATTTTACTTTTTAATTTATATATATATATATATATATTATAAAATAGGTATCAAAATTTATCAAAATCTGAAGCAATTATTTTCTAGTTCAAGGATATTAGTTCATTTACAGTTAATCGTAAATCACGATGAGAAATAAAATGATTAAATCTACAATATATGCGAACAAAAGTTGTCCTTGTCCAATTTTGAAAAATTTTCGTAGGAAGAACTCACTTGTGACCATTTATGTTTTTATATCGTGGGCGCAGAGAAGATAGATTCAACATTATTATTCGACTAGAATTCCCCATTGCGATTTCTTATTTTTTTTTTTTTTTAAATTAAAATAGAAAGCAATAAATGCTAACAATGTCAATTCTTTTTTCATCAAAAAAAAGTAGAAGAAAAAAAAACAATAGCCAACGAATTATGGGTCACTGAATAAGTTAATATTCTTTCATCGATAAAAATAACACCCAATATTGGTTATCGAGAGAGTAAATAACCTTCGTTTATAACTATATAGTTGAAAAAATAAAACTCTTGGCTTTTTATCGAAACGAAAAATAATCAGTTATAAATTAGTAGAAAGAGAAAATATCCATAATAATCCAACTAAAACAAAATATCACTGTAAAAAAAATTTTTTTTGATTTCAAATACTCGATTACTTGACTATT